ACCAAATCTGAGCCTCAGCCGTGTGGAAGATATCATTTAATCTAACACATGTTAACTGGCGTTTCCTTAGGTAAAGAGAAAAAATATTTGAAGAAGTAATGGCTAAAAGTTTCCAATATGTACAGTGAAAACAAACCACTTATATATCTAACTTTCTCCCCCAGAACCCAAACAGATAAATACAAAGTCACCATAGAGTGAAGTGACTTAAAAAAAAAATTAAAGATGGAGAAAAATGTAAAAGTAGTCAGGAAAAAAACTGGGACAAATTGAACAACAAAATAACGATAGTATTGGATTATAACCTATGGAATGAAATAAGTATCCATGGGTTCACAGTGCTCTGAATCAATTCATTTTAGAACTAGAAGCAGGACAGCTCTTCCTTATGCAGAATACTAATTAATAGCTCTTGAAGGAAGTAGAAAAGCCACATTAAACACACAGCAGCAAATGTTGCAGGTATGAAATACTGATGGAAAATTTTTTAAAAAGCAGAGATGGTTCAGTGAGTAGAAACACCTACTGATAGGCTTGACCACCCACTGGCTTTGCCGTCCGTCCATCAGTGGTTCTTCCATTTTTAAATTACATTTCATTTATTTACTTGTGTGTATGCATGTGTTGTGTGTGTGTGTGTGTGTGTGTGTGTGTGTGTGTGTGTGTGTGTCCCCACCCCCTGCCTTCGGCCCTCAGTGCTCAGTCCATGGTGGCTCGTGTGGCGGCCAGAAGCAATCTTGCTGGACTCAGTTCTTTCTCTCCTCCATGTGGAGCCTGGAGATGGAACTCAGGCCTTCAGGCACGGAGATAAAGCACCTTCTCTGTGAAATATGTATTAATTAATGAATGAAATATGCATCAATAACAAAGAAGAAAATGGTGGCTTTATAGCGAGCAGACCCAGGAAGATACTACCATAGCTAGGTCATCGAAGTCAACCTAATAATAAGACATATTAACATCGTGTGCGCCTGATGTTACATACAGAGAAGACACATCATTTGGATCATTTTTGTGGGATTCTTGTTCAAAATGTCGCAATCATGAGAAAACGGAAGACAAACTCTACCCGAGGGACAAGCTACAAAATAATTGGCCTTGGCTTTTCAAAAACTTCTAAGTGATGAAAAAGAAAGAAAAAATGAAACTCTCCAACTTCCTGGCCTTTAACCCAGTGGCTATTTTCCACCTTGGGGCTGTTTGAGCAAGCGCGCTTAGATTGTGGCCGGCATTCTCATGCACTCTGCTCAAAATGGCTTTCCTGACCTCAGCTTTCAGGAAACCTGCAGCTCCCAAGCTTGACTGCACAGACCTGGACACTCAACACTGGGTGTCCTTCCAATCCAGGATTCTGGGAATGGGCTCTGATTGGCAGAGCTCATACTGTACACATACCCTTGTCTATTCGTCTGTGTCCAGAAAGCATGCCACCGGCTGAAATATGGCCACCTGGAACTGCCCTCATTTCCTTAGGGTTTGGAGGGCTGGGGCAAGGGAGCATTTAGAGAAGGAGGCTGGGCCATGGACCCAGGCAATGTCTGCCTCTCTGCCTGCTGTTCCATGTACTCAACTTCTTAGGAGCAGTTAGCCTATTGGAAACTATCCTTTTAGTTTTCTAACCAGGGACAGTGTTTAAAAAGAAAGACTATGAAGATGTTAAAGATTGAAGGAGAGCTGGGAGATGCGAAGATTAAATACGAGAGAACAATGTGAAAAGCAGCACAATTCAAATTCTGTAACGGCATTAATTCACAGTATGGAATCAACACTCTTTGCCGTTGGTTGGTAATTATGATGTGGTAATCAAGATAAAATGTGGACATTAGGGGAAGCTGGGTGAAGGACAGAAGGGGACTTTCCTTAGTGCTTTGTAATGACAAAATAAACATAATTAATTTCAAAATGACAAGTTTGTGTGTGTGTGTGTGTGTGTGTGTGTGTGTGTGTGTGTGTGTGTGTGTATGTGTGTGTAACAGCTAGAACAAGATGATAGGGAAAAGAATGGAGAAGATGGTAAACTTCTTCAGAGTCAATGTCGGTCAGCACACAGTGGGACAGCTTTGTTGTGGCTTGAATGTAAAATGGTAAAATGTCCCTCAGAGGCTCATTTTGAATACCTGGGCCCCAGTTGGTGGTACAGATTTGAGTCTGTGGAATCTTTTAGGACCTGGGGTCCGATTCCCAGCTCCCACACAGCAGTGCATAATTGCCTATGACTCCAGTTTCAGGAGATCCGACAACTTCACACAGACACACATTCAGGCAAAACACGAATGCACATGAAATAAAAATAAGTAATTATTTTTAAAAAATTAAAAGAAAAGGTAAGTCCTGGCTGGTAGAAGGGAACCTTTAAAGACAATAGCTCAGTCCTGGTTTTCATCCTCATCTCTCTACTTCCTGGTCTGTTGTCACAAGGTGACCAGCAGCCTCAGGTCCCTTTTATCAAGGACTAAACAGTTCCTGTTACCGGGTCAGCTCTGCCATGATGGACTGAGAGTCCTTCAAACCTGAAGCCAAAACAAACACTTCCTCCTTTAAACTCTGTCTGTCAGGTGCATTGAGAATGGTAATGTAACATCGGAAGTGCTAAGAGGAGGGCCAGCCAGATGGCTCACCGGGTGGAAGGGATAGTTGAGCAAACTCGATGATCTGAGTTTTTATCCCTGGTTCCCACGTTGTCCGCTGACCTCCATGTGTACAATGGCATGCATGTCCCTGCATACAACACACACACACACACACACACACTGCAATTAACTTAAAAGAAGAGGATGTAATATAATAAGAGGGGGAAACCTCTGACAATCTAGAAAGCTATTTATAAGAAATATCATCAAAATAAGAGTGAAGTAATTAGAAGTCAGGCATATTTGTTTAAGGAGATTTGTAAGAATTGCTAATTTAAAAAATAATTAACTTTTCTTTATTTTAGGTTCATTGGTGCTTTGCCTGCATGTATGTCTGTGAAGTTGTTGGATTCCCTGGAACTGGAGTCACAGACAGTTGTGAGCTGCCATGTGGCTGCTGGGAATAGAACCCGGGTCCATACTGGAAGGGCAGCCAGTGCCCTTAACCACTGAGCCATCTCTCCAGCCCCAGGAGTTGCTAAACTTAAGATGTTCTTCAGGATGAAGGGAAGTGTTTCTAAATCAAAATTCAGAACTATAGAATGGTGTGAAGAGTACCAGAAACAGTAAATATAATCTGATCTCTTTATTTAAGAGATAAATAACTGTTTAAAATAAAAAAAAGTTGTGAATTACTGTTTTGTGCGTATGTGTATATGCATGTGTGTGTGGTATAGGCCCACATGTGTGCAGTTGCAGGTACCCATGCACATACATGGGGAGGTCAGAGGAGCCCAGGAGGAGGGGTGTTCTGCCCTGTTACAGTCTGCCTTATTTTCTTATGAGGTCTCTCACTTCACCTGGAGGGAGGCTAGCTGGCAGCCAGCCTTCTGTCTCTGTACTCCCTCCCACTGCACCAGGGTCACAGGCCAGCCTGTGTCCATGCTCAGATTTTTATGGGGGTGCTGGGGATTTGAACCCAGGTCCTCATGTTGGTCCAGTAAGCACTATTATCCAGTGATCCAGCTCCCTAGCCTCACTATTATTATTATTTTGCTTGAGATGGGGTCTTGCTGTGTAGCCTAGGCGATGCTTGAATAGCCATCCTCCTGCCTTACCCTCAAGGGCTGGGACTGAGACATGCATTGCCGTGCACTGCTACGCATCACTGTGTATAGTAATATACTAGGTCCTAATAGCATAGAAAATGCAATCGTGTCAATTAATTTGTACAGTTATAAAGTTCTTACCTGTTACCCAAAATGATATACTATCCTGGTGTTGGAGAGGTCTGAGGGAGAAGTGCCCACCTCTGCAAAGGATGAAGCTGGAGGAGCAACATCAGACAAGATGGCATGGAAGAAATGACATTTGAGATGTTTTGAAAAATAAGTGGAATTTTCCAAATGGAAAGAGGAAGGAAGGTCAGTCAGACGGAAAGGCATGGGACATTTAGGAGTGACAAGAATCTCTTGGGCTCAGAACAAGGGATGGATCATGGCCAGGTGTCAGGTCTCTTCTCGCCACGCCCCTCCTCCAGGGTTTCCTGTAGCTCAGGCTGGCTTTGAACGCTCTCTGTACTCAAGAACGACCTGGAACTTCTGGTCCTCCTGCCTCCTTAGCCCTGCAATTATAAGCATACACCACGTCCTGCTTTCGTAGTGCTGGGAATGGAACCCAGAGCATGCTAGGCAAGTAAGCGCTGTACAATTGCGCTGCATCGCCAGCCCTAGTCCCATTTTTACACTGCCATTCTTGATTAGGATACACGGGCCCAGCTACTTCCTATGACCTGCTCTTCAGATCCCGTATTTTGCAACTTTTGAGCTTCTAGAGGTTTCCTATCTGGGGAAGACCCAAGGAAACTAGTGTAGGGGACCGGAATAGCAGGCAAGTAGTCTCTGAGGAAAATACCACAAAGCTAGTGAATTTGAGTTTGAAGGCAATACAGTGACTGCCCTGAAACGGTTATCAGACACCTGACAGACAGAGGCTCTTCACAGATCCATCTCCGCTAACACAAGCTGGAGACGTGGTATTGCCAGGAGATTGCAGGGAAAGCATTCGACAGCTGCCTGTTAACTCAATGAGAGAATGAATGAGACTGGAGGAAATCAAGAGAGCCAGGGCGAAGTGAAATAGTTGATGTCTGTGGAGGTGGGACTAGAAGAGTCCAGGAAGTGGCCCAATAGCTACTTTTTTTTTTTTTTTTTTTAAACCAAGCACCCAGACGCGAACCCCTGGGACCCAGATACGCACACGACCCCGTGGGGCTCGGTTTCCTCTAGTGAGCACTCGGGCGGGTCCTCGTGGGCGGACTGGGGAGGGCTCTGAAGAGAGGCTCGCCAGTTTCCCCATCACGCTCCCAGCTTCAGGCAGGGTCCAGACGGGCGCCCGAGGGGAGGGAGCGCACGCCCTTGGCCCGCCCCGCGCGTCCCACCCACTGCGTCCCCTCCCCTCCCCTCCCACCGCGGGAAAAGCAGCCGTGGGCGCCAGGCTAGCGGTGGCGCGCGGCGTGTGAAGGGCAGCGGACAGGATGCGAGCGCGGCGGCCGGGGCGGCTCTGGGCAGCTCTGCTGGCGCTGGGGACACTGGCGGGCGTTGTCGTTGGAGGTGAGTGAGGCGGGTGTGCAAACTGCCGTGGGGCCGTGGGATCCCGGAGCTCGGGCTGAGAAGCTGAGGTGTGGGGGGCGGGTCCTTCCTCCGCTGGTCTCGAGGGGCGTCGCGGGTGGCAGAGGCAAGGTGGGGCTCTGCGGGGCGGCCCTGGTGCACTGGCTGGAGGATGCGGCTCACCTGCTTCGGTGAGTGTGTGCACGCTAGGTTGCCCCTTTCTCTGAGTATGGCACGTCTCTTCCCTCGAGTTTGTTCATCTGGCAGCTCCACTCTATAAGGAGGAGCAGGATTCGGGCTCCTCCTGGGAACAGATCTCTCACCCAGCACTCTCTGACTGTGTGCTGGGAGTCAGCACAGAGGTTCTTGGGGCTGACTTTGTTTCCCCTGCGTGCAGCTCACACCATCATCATCTGCCTGGACAGTCAGCTTTTGGCCTCACTGGTGCTGCAGGGATGGGGAGTGGTCCAGTCAGCAGAGCTGTAGGGGAGCGGGACATGATGCGGGAGGTGGAGAAACTGAGGTTCTGGGTCAGTTGGAGCAAGTTAAACCCTACAGATGGGTGTGTGTGTGTGTGTGTGTGTGTGTAATAGGGCCTCACATTATTGAGGATGCTTCACACTCCAGACCCTCCTGTGCCTCCACTAATGAGTGCTAGGGTTGTAGGTACACACCACCACCCAGGGTTTATGCGCTGCTGGGAGTTGAACCCAGGGCCTCCTCGTGTCAGGCAAGCACTTTATTAATTGAGCTACATCTCCAGACCCAGATGGACTATTTCTTAAAGGTAAAATTTATTAAGTTGACTTTGAGGCTAAGCATTCTAAAAAATATTTTGGTGGCTGCCTTCAAGACCCTTCCTTAATGATACAGACAAGCACAGCCACGGAAGGGAAAGGGTGTCTCAGTGCGGTCTGTACGGTTGCCCTTCTGGAATACTTAAGGTTGAAGCTTCTGAGTGACAGATGAAAACTGTGGTCTTTAGCCTACATTGAACAAGCCTTGTGAGGGATCTCCAACATTCTGCCCTGGAGGTGTTTGAGCTTCTAGCAAGCCGCTGCTAGCCGTGGACTGGGAATGGGGGAAATTCACCAGCAAAGCTGATGTTTCATACAGATACGCTAACTTCCATGAACTTAAAACCTTTAAAAACTCACTACTTCTGAATTTTAAATGGACATATAATGACAGGGCCTGCCTGTGTAAAGTGTGAAACTGCATACACAAATACACTGTACAGCAATAAGATCAGGGTAGCCAGGATTCTTTGTCGTGTTAGACGACTCCCAGCTCCTCTCGGCTGTGTTTTGAGATATATTTAAAACACATTGTGGTTTGTTTATATCCATAGCTTTCTTTCAAATTAACTTCTGAGTATCACCATCACCACCACCACCACCACCACCACCACCACCACCACCACCACCACCACTACCACCACCATCATCATCATCATCTGTAGTTTGAGAAGAAAGTAATGAGTTCACGGATGATGCATAGAGAGCAGGGTGTTTGGTCAACTCTAGTGAGGGTGAAGTTTATCTGTTATTTTGGTTTCTCACTCTCTTCCACCTTTCCTGAACCCCAGTGTTCAGTGTATTACTTGTTGGTTTGGTTCACACAGTTGCAATGATCCATACAGGACCACATTACTCTGGTATACCTAAGTCTGGGTTTAAAAATCCTTTAGTGGAGATGGGGGAGATGGGGGAGATGGGGAAGCTGGGCTGATAAAGTTGGAGGACCTGAATTCTGTCCCCAGAACCTACTGGAAAAAAAAAAAAGCTTGATGTAGTAGTGTGCTTGTAATTCCAGTGCTAGGGGAGGAGACAGAGGCAGACAGGTCCCTTGGGGCTCACTGGTGAACCAGCCTGGCCTGCTTGGGGAACTCCAGGATAGAAAGAGATCCTGTCTCAAAAAAAAAAAAAAAAAAGTGATATTTGGAGGAATGATACCCAAGATTGTCTTCTGGTCGCTGCCCAGGAACAATTGTAAATGAGCATGCATGTACGCGTGCACATATGCACCAAAATAAACAAAACCCACAAAGCCGCTCTGTTCACAGATTTGTTGTGATTGGAATAATCCAGAGAGGTGATGGCTTGTGCTGAAGTAGCCCCAGACTCCCTCTGAGGGGCAGGTGGAGTCCTGTTGAGGAACAGAGGACTCCAGAGCACCCTGTGAAAGAAGTGTCTGTCATACCTACACCCCATCCCAGTGTTGGTGGCAGAGCTCCAAATACCATTAGGTTCCTGGGGAAGCAGGTGCTGGGATGACAGGACAGTGTTGAAGGGACACAGAAGGACCAGAGTGGGAGTGAGGTGGCACAGAGAGGCTGTCCAGAGTAGGAGATTCTGCCGTGAGGGGACAAGAGCTTCTGTGAGGATAGTGTTGACTTTCAGTTTTTATCTCCAAAGATAATCTTTTTAGCTTCTTCTGAATACCAGTTTCGTGGCTTCCTCACATTTAGTGCTTATTCTAACCTAAGTAGGTCGGAGTTGAGGTGTTTATTTCTCTTCTAGAGTTTGTATTCTGGAAACTCTCCAACTGAAGCCCTCTTCCAGAATCCTCGGGGCCTGGAGAGATGAGGAAAGGCGTGACGCTGGGGAAAGGGACAGCTGGGGTTTAAGCCCAGGGGTGTAGGTTTGACTTTGCCCCTGAATGACCATGTGGTCTTGCTAATGTCTTAGTCATATTTTCTCACCTGTCGAGTGGAGAAAAACAGCGCCTCTATTACGCAGACTAAACGAGACAAAGGCACAAGTTAAGTGTTCAGTAACTGGCGATTCCTGTTGGCATTCCTGTTACTGGTGTATACTATGGACTGCAGGCCAGAGCGGCTGCTACTTCATGCATTAGTACAATCCAGGCTCCCAGCTGAGAATTCATCTCTCACATCCTCTTAATTCAACCCGTTCCTCTTTGGTGGCTTGGCATGTTTCAGGCTCTCTGGTCCTGCAAGAATCTACAGAGAAGGCCCAGGAGGAGAGAGGTCCACACATTCATTTTTTCCCCCTATGAGTCTCAACTTTGTAAAATGAGGGTGGCAAACCCCAACACATAAGACTTCTGCCTCCGTAAGGAGAGCAAAGTGTCTGTTTTGTTTAACACTGCGCCCAGCGCTTGGCACACAGGCAGCAAGAGAACCATGTAGGGAATGGTACAAAAAGGCATCTAGAGGTGATGTCTCTTACTTTGAAGAAATCCAATATTTACATACTTGCAACCTCGAGTGTTCTACCTGAACACTCTGGAGGGGGTGTGTGTGTGTGTGTGTGTGTGTGTGTGTGTGTGTGTGTGTGTGCGCGTTTTGCTGAGAATGGAACCCAGGGTTTTGTGTGCCAAATGTGCTCTACTACTAAAGCACAACCCCAGCCCTTTTGCACTGGTGTTTACCTTCTGACCAGAGGATGATGGAAACACAGAGTCCTCTGAAGTGTCTCCCCTTTGTCCTATCTCTGGGGGAGTCACTTGAACAATCTTTTCTGTTCTTCCCCTCAAATTCATGAGCGTGAGGGCAAAGGCGAGAGGTGGCATGTGTCTCCTGGGAATAGCATAAGGTAGGACAAGGAGGCAGTGTTGTGAGGAGGGGGAGCCCAATGTGACTCTAGAATTCCCTGATAGAAATTCTTCCTTTACAACTCCCCACCCTCCTTGGATCTCTGTTTATCATCTCCTCCCAGCTGCAAGAATCCTGCCCTTGTTGGCAGAAACAGCCAGGAAGCATGCCCACAGGAACCGCAAGTCATGAATCAGCAGACAGATAATTAATCGGGCAAGGGGTGTGTATGTGACTGAGCAGCTTTGGGGGGTAAACCGCTTGGCTTACCCCTCCTCTCCTTGCTGCCCACAGGGTGGCCTGCTATATCTCACCATCCCCTCCTCTGCCTTCTCCCCAAGTGGAAGAGTCATGTGCCTACTGCAACTCAGGTCACTAGTGGCTAAGAACCTAGGAGCTGGGAGCGAGGCTGTTTGAGGCTTCCTCGCTTTGGAAACTGCCAGAATTTATAGGGACTTGAGATTCTGCAGCAAAACAATAAAAACTTACCTTTCTCTCCAGGCACATGGTGTCCCCAGAAAACTTCCACCCCCTTTAAAGGGCTAGGATAGGAGCCAGTTAAGAGCACTTGCTGATCTTGCAGAGGACCTGAGTTTAGTTCCCAGAACCTACGTAGGTGGTTCACAACTGCCTGTAACTTCAATTTCAGGGGACCCAGCATTCTCTTCTGATCTCTTTGGGCACTGCACACACATGGTGCACATACATACATGCATGCAGGCAAAATAATCATACATATAATATAAAAATATACACATCTTAAAAAAGGAGGATTGGGTTACAGAGATGGCTCAGTGGTTTAGAGCATTTAATACTCTTCCAGAAGACCTGGGTTCAATTTTCAGCACCCACCTGAGACAGTTCCCAGGCACCTATAACTCCAGTCCTTGAATGCACATACTGCACATAAACTCATGTAGGCACCCCCCCCCCAGAAATAGATGAAAATAAAGAAGTCTTTAAAAATGTTTATCACTGAGGTATAGCTTATGTACCATGGAGTTCAGCATCCTCAATGTGCAATTCTGAGTGCTTCTGGTAAAGACATATGGTCAAATAATCCCTACCATAAGGAAGATAGGGAGTATTTTCAGAGAAGTTCCCTCCAGCTTCTTCGTAAATCTTCTCTTCCCACTTCTGGTCCCTGATCTGTCTCCTGTCCCCATCGATCTGTTTTACAGAATGTCATAGAGATGAAACCGTAGTGTGGAGGCTTTTAAGTCTGGCTTCTTCTACTTGTAATGTAGTGTAGTTCACCCAAGGTGTTGCTTGTATCAGTAATTCCAAGAGCTCACTGGGGCCATCCCATCCTCCTGCAGTGAGATATTACCTTGAAAGCAGTGAGGCTATCGCCACTAAACTATGGAGATGCCATCAGTGTTCAGTTGGAGAGACACACTTGAGCCATGTTGAAGCCTTTGGAGTTTCCAACTGCTAGAAAAAG